TCAGTGGGCTAGCAATCCTAAACCCTGCCCTGTCCCTATAAGGAACGGGGATCCCCGAATTTACCCTGCCTTTCCCTGCTCATTCCTACATATATACTTACAAATTTATTCTTTTATGTTTTTTAAACCTACCTAGAACTATTTTATATTATGTAATATAATATAGTATAATTATATAGTCAGGGTGGGTTCAAGGTCAGGGTCGGGGCGGGGTGGACAAATACCATCCCAGCCCCATCTCCGATCCCCAAAGTTTTGGGTTTCCCCGAACCCCAATCAGTGGTCAAAAAACCCTCCGTGACCGAGGAGGGGACGAAGCGAGGCCCCATGGGGATGGGCCAACTTGCCATCTCTATCCCTCAGGCCCCATTGTTTCCTATACCTATGCATGTCTTTCGTTGTCAGTGCTTCGTCCATGATTTATTCTCCACTCGTGGTAAGCTTGATCCTAAGGTTATTGTTTGTGTTTTCCTTGGTTATCCTCTTTCCCAGAAGGGTTATTGTTGCTTTGGTTCTATTTCAAAAAAAAAAAAGACTTTGTTTCTAGGGATGTCTCTTTCTTGAAAATGCCCTATTCCCCTCTTTCTTCTCAAGGGGGAGAGGTCAGGTGAGGAGAAACAAAAACAGACACAGGTTTGCTTACCTTCTCCTCTTGACCCTCCTTCATTCTAGGTCTTTCGTAGAAAAAGCTACAAAAGCCAAGGCCAGCAGAGTTCAATAGCTATGGAGCAACCTGTAACTATGCAACCAATGCCATTGGACTCTAGGGGTTGGATCCCTCACCCAATCTAGGTACCATTATTCTAGTTGATATTCTCGAACCTATTGACATTGACACCTCAGCTTGTGATCTGGACCTTCTTATTACAAAAGGGAAAGGTGTCAGATCATGCACCATACACCATCATATGGCTCATTTTTTTTATCTTATGAGAACATCTCACCCTCATTTCATGCTTTCCTTTCTGCCATTGATAGTGTCCCCCTTCCTAAGAGTGTTGCAAAGGCCTTAAATGTTCTTGACTGGATAGATGCAATGAAGGAAGAGATTAATGCCCTACATAAAATTGGTACATGGAAGTTGGAAGATCTTCTTAAGGGAGAGGAACATGTGGGGTGCAAATGGGTGTTCTCTGTGAAACATAAGGCAGACGACACAATGGAGAGATACAAGGATTACTTGGTAGAAAAAGATTTTACATAGGTTTATGAAGTTGACTATGTAGAAACTTTTGCTCCAATGGCAAAGGATGAACTCTATTTGGGTTCTCCTCTCTTTAGCAACAAATCTAGATTGAGAACTCCATAAATTAAACATAAAAATTGCCTTCTCGAATGGTGATTTGGAGGAGGTGTACATGATCGAATCTCTTGCTTTTGTGCCAAGGGCAGTGAACACAGCCTACAAATTGAAGAACTCTTTATATGGTCTAAAACAATCACCAAGGGCTTGGTTTAGCAGATTTCACCAAATGGGTTTTAAACAGTGTCAAACTGATCACACACTCTTTTTGAAGAAAAAAGGAAAGACGACAACCTTGATTGTCTATGTGGAAGGCATAGTTATAAATGGCGATTAGGTCTCAAAGATACAGAGGCTAAAGAAGTTCTTGGGATTGGAGTTGCCCTCTCTCAACAAGGAATCTTCATCTTTCAAAGGAAGTATGCCCTCAATCTCCTGAAAGATATAGGGAAGCTTAGGGCAAAACCAGCTGATACTTCTATAGAGATGAATCACAGACTCAGGGACTGCAATAATGAGCCCATAAAAGATTCAAATCATTACCAAAAGCTTGTGGGTAGACTCCTATACTTATCTATGACTAGGCCAGCATTGCACATGTAGTGGGAGTCCTTATTCAGTTCATGCATGCACCCAAAGTAGCACACCTAGAAGCAGCACATAGGGTTCTCAAGTGCCTAAAGAAATTCCCAAGGACAAGTCTTTTATTCAGGAATTATGGACATATGAAAGTTGATGTTTACATTCATGCTGATTGAACAAGTTTTGTGAATGATAGAAAATCCACTAGTGGGTATTATACCTTTGTGGGGGTAAATCTTGTTACATGGAGAAGAAACAAAGTGTGGTAGCCAAATCTAGTGCAGAAGTAGAAATATTATGGGTTAAAAGTTTATTAGGTGAATTGGGTTTTCCTCTACATAGTCCTATGCCACTCTTATTGTGACAATAAGGCTGCTATCAATAATATTGCAGTCAATCCTATTCTTCATGATAGAACCAAGCACATTGAGGTAGATAAACACTATCATAGAGAAACTAGAGAAGGGAGAAGTATGCACTCCATATGATCTTTGTGACAAGGGATTGAACTCCTTGTGGCATTATGATCTTTGTGACAAGTTGGGGATGATTGATATCTATACCCCAACTTGATGAAGGTGAGAATCCATCAAATGGACGGCCGAACCATGCTATATGGCTAGGCAAATTTTCAAAAAAAATTCTTTAACCTTCTGGGAATCGCATTCCCTGTTTTAGAAAAACAGCATTTTTCTATGATCAATCTTGACTGAAATCAAACCAGATTTGAAACCAAACAAGAGGGAGATGTATACCTGATACGGATTCCACAAATGTAGATCCCAAGGTGGTAGTTCACGCCCAAATCAAATCCCAAAACCAGCTTCCATTGAAGATGGTGCAGCTAGAAGTTGAAGCCAGTTCAGCAACGCAGTTTTCAACAAAACTGCAATCCAATTCCTTGGATCGAACTGGGGAGGTGAGTACGATTTTTCTCTATATTTTTCTTGCAAAAATCAAAGAGAGAACTGATCAAGATCAGTCCCAAATACTGAGATCGAACTACGGTTTCTTGGGCAACAAGAGGAGAAGAGAGAAAGCTGAATTGCAGAGARACAATGAGTAGTTCGGTCTCTTCTTTTCTTTATCCTTTATGGAGCACCTCTTCTAATTGAATTAGGAGTTTATCCAAATCTTTATTTGGATCCGGACTCTATCATAAGATAGGTCTTATCTTCTTAAGAAAATGGGTGCTCCTTACCCATATCCAAACATATTCATCCATGTCATATGACAGCTTAAGCAGTCATGTGACATTTTGATTAATCATATTAATCATGGGCTTTAGGCCCATTAACTATATAGCTCACGACCCAAGACTGTTGCTGGCTTATTTAGGTTTGATTTGTATGGCGTGGGACCCCACAATGACCTCACATAAGCCCACATGGGTTCAGCCCAGCCTCTGTGAAAAGGCTTGGCCAAATTCACTACCAAGTGCAGTGAACCCCTGAGCTCATCATTATGAGCTCAAAATGGGCCCAACATTTATAGTTAAACGATCCTTGAATCCAGCCATCCTATGAAGACCCAAGGATAATGGACTTAAGTAAGATATAGCCCATCAGGTAATTAGCCCTTAATGGTCAATTACACTTAACCTCTCAGCCCACAATGATCAAACACTACCCGACAGGGAAGGACCTCTCCCCTGACTGCAAGGTGCAGCGTCACTCTATGCTCGGACATGAGTTCGGCCCAGCCTCTGTGAAAAGGCTTGGCTAAATTCACTGCCAAGTGCAATGAACCCCTAAGCTCATCATTATGAGCTCAAAATGGGCCCAACATTTATAGTTAAACGATCCTTGAATCTAGCCATCCTATGAAGACCCAAGGATAATGGGCTTAAGTAAGATATAGCCCATCAGGTATTTAGCCCTTAATGGTCAATTACACTTAACCTCTCAGCCTACAATGATCAAACACTACCCGACAGGGAATGACCTCTCCCCTGACTGCAAGGTGCAGCATTACTCTCTGCTCGGATGGATCCCGGGAATTAAAACCTTTTGCAAACACTTTTCTTAAAACATAATATATATATATATATCATATAAATATACTTTTCAAAACAAAATCTCAAACATGGTTGAAATCCACTGCCAACAATTTAGGTTTCCATTASAGAGAGTACAGTCCCGATCATTCACATTGTCCGGAAAAGGGGCCGATCCTATCACTACGATCACCCACTCAAGTGAATTCTTAGACTGCCCCAACATACCCAGGTTTTGACCCCCAAAGGATCTCACTGATTGGCATATCGAAGACAGTCCGATCTAACACCTAGTGCAGTACCATAATCAAGTCTAGGGGTTATGTGTAACTTTTCAGTTTTTCCCATCAGTTTCCATGGTCCAGCGCATAACTGGAAAATGGTCCAGGTTCAGAGTTTCAATCAAACACACACTACATGTGCTTCGGGTCTAACCCTAGCAGCTGAGACAAGCTACTCCAACTTCTTTGGTAGCACATAGTGTCAGCCTTGGCAAGATAAACTTCCCAAGTCTATCCAGTGGCTGAGAACATTTTAAACTAACACGAGTCTCATAAGTGTCCATTTTAAGGGGTAATTTTCACAGAAACATACCAATGACAACATGAAACAATAATGTACTTTTATTCATTTACAATAAATATATCTGTACATCAATCTAATTGGAGCTAAGGGCATACACTGTCTAACACTTGAGGGGAAGTGATGTAATATTAATAGTTATGTTCTGCAAGGGGCACTTTTGTCTTTTTTCCTTTTATTATGTTTGACTACCCTACACAATAAATATTAAAGCTAGCACTGCCAGCCAAGACTTTTGCCTCTCTAAGTATTTTGCTTCTTCTCTTCTCCCTCTTCTTATTCTTCTTCTTCTCTGAAATCAAAAATCATTAAATAGGATCTATATTCAAATCTTTGGGGTATTTTAGGGCTGTTCTAATATGGATAATTATGATTATGTTGGTGAAATCTCTATATAGAAATTGTCATCTATTTTTTCTTATAATAATTTTTTTTATCATCAAAAATATCTTTGCTTATGGATCTTTATTTCCTTTTACAAATTGTTTTATGACATTATAAATGCTAGAGGAATGGAGGATGCCAAAATACATAATTATAGTTGTATATTAATCTAGTTACAAACTCCATAGACATGACTACTTCTTTGATTTGTAGGTTGCCCGTGGCAGTCATAGTGGTGGAGTGGCCATTCCTCTGCTTTTGAGAATCCCTCGATATTTTGATCCCTGGGGTGGATATAATATGGTTGGCTTTGGGGACGTTCTTTTCCCTGGTTTGCTTATTTCCTTTACTTACAGGTATCATTTAAGTCTATTTATTTAAGGTATTATTTTCATTTTCCTAACCCTAAAGTTGTATTTACACATATTATATCCATATATTAAATAGGTTAGAAATCGTGGAATATTCAATTTCCTAGTTTCTCTAGCAACTTAATGAACCATATTGGTTTTCGTATGGTTCATTCTTTACATAGTTCTTTAAAAAGTATATGAYATGAACTGAAACAACCGTCACTTTCATTCTTGCAATGATTGTTGTTGAATTATGAACAATCTAATTGTTTGTGCAGTTTATTTCCTATTAGTCTGTCTAGATTTATTTTTACTTAGTTGGACTGTTATTTCTTTATTTGTTATTGCTGCAAGAGCAACAATCATGACAACTAATTGTTAATGGGCCCTTAAGTACCCTTTATTGGACTATTATTTCTTTATTAATTACCATAAACAATAATGGGGCAGCAATTATGCCCAATAATTGGATCTTTTCTTCCTGTGTTCTCTTATTCTCCTCTTCCCATCTGTTTTCTGCACTTATTAACCAAACTAATTATTGATTTTATTGATGTATTGATGAATTGAAGAAGTATATTCAAAAAGATGGTATAAAAGAAGTATTTCTCTATTGGTCAAGGATCTTTTTCCTAATCTTAGATGATTTTTGGGTAGATTGGTGCCTAGGAGAGTCTCTATTAGAAGCAGTTTGAAGATGAGAAATCCAATCTGTTGTGTCTAATCTGAGACCATGCCTAGAAACATATCTTATATATTGATGTGAAAGAGAATGAAAGGGAGCATTATGCCCTTCCTTTACAAAAACAAAATAAAAGTTGTACAGCTATAATATAGTATATACAAGAAATGATGTACAACAGTGCTCCCAGCCCATAAATAAAAAATACATTATAAATACGGGGAAGATGATTGTTTTGTAACCTTCTTTCCATCTTATTGTGCCTTTCAGGATTTGAGTACGGAGAAGATGATTGACAGTGGACATTGTAGAGAACACTGATGTGGGCCCCACAGCTATGGTCCCACTGTGTTCGTAGGGTAGAATGTGTTCTAGTCATCCTAGGGTTAGCTGGTGGTCAGTTGGTTATTTCAGTTGTTATTTATTTTAGTTATATTTTGTTATATTTGTTATGTAAATACTAAGGGCAGATTTGTCCTTTCCATGTAGTGAGCATAACCTATAAATACTAAATAAAAGTGGCGGTGTCAGAACATTAAGATTTTGTCCCTCCTTTCAACCCTTGTGTTCTACTGCTCTCTCTTCTCTTTCTCCTCTCTTCTMTATACCTTTTCTTCTATTTTCGAACCTGAAATCTATTAGGGTTCAAGGCTGATAGCAGTCTTGAACGTCTACTTGGTATCAGAGTTAGGGTTTCTCATGTGAGTCTAGTCTAGCCAACCACATGAGAACCATCTAGGGCTGGAAGCTGAGAAAGTGGAATTCATTGACTGGTTCTTGGAGATCGCCAGAGGGTTTAGCAGCTATTGAAGACTTGCCACGGTTGCAGAGTGTTGGTGATCAGGAAGAATCAGAGAAGGCTAGGGTTCGGGTAACCTTGGAAGGCAGCAAACARCATTCTCTTGTAAGTTTTTTATTTTCTGAGAGAAGTACTATTAGAGAAGATAGGTTGGACCTATATAGAAAGGGCGGCCAAACCACTCTAGGGTTTTCTTCTTTCTGTTCTCTAGGGTTTTGTCTTAACCCTGTGGCAAACCCTAATGCTGGGCTGAGCCTTGTGATCTACCTGTGAAGCTCTTCTTAAGTTTCTCYTCACCATTGACCAGTTTTAGGGTTTCATATTAACCCTACTACAAGTCTTATCTGTACGGTACTGCTTGGAATGTGCGGCTGAGAATTTTTTTTAGGACTGATTAAAACCCTAATTCTGCTTCAGCATATCAGATTATTCTCCAAGCTGTTTTCACATTTTTCTTGGGTTTCGAACTCTCTTAAGGGGTGAAAACTGTACGGACTGCTGCTGTTGTGTTTGCTAATTGGTTTCAGATCAGACTTATACCTGTTTCATGCACATATACCGTGAATACAGATTGGTTCTATACTGATTTTTGATTGTGATTGATAGTCCAAGTGTTGTTCTTTGACTGTAGTAACCCTAATTTTTGAGACT